ACACATTTACCTTGTGGATCACGCATGTCTATGCCGTGACAACACTGCAGTTCAGGCCAAGAGTTAGCACGCATGCAAAGGAGGTTAGAAGATGCTCACCAACCTCCAGAGGGAGCTGGAATGCATCTCTCAAGTCACTGAGGCTACAAACCAAAATGAGCCTGACTGTCTGGACCTCTAAAGCATGAAAACGAAAATAAAGAGAATGTTCCCAAGACTTCCAGGGATGCCTAGGGGCATTATGGTCCAGCCTAGGGTACCTGAATGTCAGTGTGTGTCACTGAGTTCAGGGCTCATGAGGGTTAATGTTGGCTGCTGTGTGTCAGCTAAGGTATGAGCCCAGTATGTGTTAACCCATTTAATTCACAGAACCAGCAACTGAGGTAGATGCTACTATCCTTTGTGTCACAAATGAGGAAACTCAAGCCCTGAGAGGTGGAAAAACTTACTCAAAGATATACAAAGAGAGTAGCAGAGCCAAGTAGGTGGACACAGACCCAAGTAGGTGGCTCAGAGGCTGCTCTCCTGGTTAATGGCTCCTGTAAACGGTTTCTAGAAATTTCTGCTATCACTTCCCTCAGAGCATATGGAAAAAAGGTTTGCAGGCAGGCATCAGACCAGCTCCCAGTCTTCACCAGCACCTCCATGTTCACTTCCAGGGCTCTCACCATGGCGGGAGGGCTGCATTCCAGAGTTTCTTTTTGCTCTAGCCCCCAGGTTACTCTTCTACTACAGATGTGGCCCCTCACGATTCTTGATAGGGGACATATAAGTTGTGGGGCCACTGCTCCCATATCAGGGAGAGGCAGTTTTCTCTATTCATCACTCTCTCTTCGGAAGGACAAAAAGTATATGACTTGAAAATCCAGAAATGAGCAAAGACTGGCTGATAAAAAGAGGAAAGGAAGCAAAATGAGAAGGAGAACATGAATTGAGTATATGTTTCCAGCAACTTGGGAAGCTGAGGAAGGAGGATTGCAAGTTCAAAGCCAGCCTCAGCAATTGAGCAAGAATGTGTCTCTAAATAAAAGGGCTGGGGATGTGGTTCAGTGGTTAAGCACCCCTGGACTCAATCCCTGGTATAAAAAAAAAAAAGGGGGAGAGAGAGAGAGTATATTTTTAAAGTACCTATTAGTCATCAGGGAAATTCAAATTAAAACCACAATGAAGGTAAAATTTCACATCCACTTAAATGGACAAAATGAAAAAGATGGGTAATATCAAATCCTATGAGGATGTGGAGAAACTGGAACCCTCATGCACTGCTAGTAGGAATGGAAAAAAGGCTCGGTCTCTTCAGAAAAGAGACTGGTGGTTCCTTAAAAGGTTAAACCATAGACTACCATATGACCCAAAAAGTTTACTCAGAATGTACCCCAGAGAAGAGGTATACGAAAATTTATGCATAAATATTCACAGTAGCATTAGTTAAACAAACCACCACCACCACCACCACCAACAACAACAACAAAAAGAAACCACCTAAATATCCATCAATTGATGAACAGGTAAGTGCGGAGCATCTATAGTATAGATACTATTTGTCAGCACAAAGGAATGAAGTCATGACAGGATGCGTGCTACAGCCTTGTTGGACACTGGAAACACTGCTGTAAGAAAGAAGTCAGGCACAGAAGTCCACAGACCTGATTCCATTCACATGAAATGAACAGACGAGGTAAATAGAAAGATGGAAAGCAGGTTAGTGTTTGCCTAGTGCTGGGGGTTGGGGCAGAATGGGGAGTAATAGCCCACAGCTATTAAGGGTTTCTTTATGGAATTAGCATGATATTGTGTAACTCCACCACTATGCTAAAATACATTGAGTTGTATGTTTAAGTAAATGACCTGTTTAGTATGTAAATAACATCTCAATAAAGCTGTTACACTGGGCAAAGTGACTTCTTATAAAGTAAAACTTAGACTAGTCTATCCTAGGAGACTCTGCATTTTTGTGAATGAGAAAGCACAATTGCAGAAGGGGCAGAAACTCAAAATCATTTATTTGGGAAAAGAAAAAAAATCAAAAAGGAAGGGCTTATAAAAGAAAAAAGAAAAAAAAGTCTTTTTAATTGAATTTCAAGATACTGGCTGTGTTACTGTCCTATCACACAGAATGCCTAGATATTCAAAGATGGTCTGCATAACTCCAAATCCTTTTTTTCACCAAAAGCTACTAAGTTAAAAAAAATAAAGGACCTATTTCTTTTTTAGAACTAACTTACTTCTTCCTTCCTTCCACATTTTTTTTTTTTTTTTGGTGGTGCCAGGGATTGAACCCAGGGCCTTGTACATGCTAATCAAGCACTCTACCAACTGAGCTACATCCCCAGCCCACATATATATACATATATGTGTGTTTTGTGTGTGTGTATGTATGTGTATGTATATATATATATATAAAACTGTATGACCAATGTACTTCTGCAACCTGTCCAATCAGAAAAAATGATAAATTATACCCCATTTGATTCAAATGTATGAATTGTCAAGATCATTGTACTGTTATGTGTAACTAATAAAAAAATAAAATTAAATAAAGGACCTAAAGAAGAGGAGATATAACATCAGATTTTGAATTTTTTTTAACTTTTTGAGGACTGAATTAAAAAGTCTACCCCTATAAGGATCTCTGATACATAGCATTCCAAATTCACAAAATAAGAATATTTGATTGGCATCTAAAATGTATAATTTTCTAATATGAATTTAGAACTCTGACTCCAATGTAACTAGAAAAAGTAACGACTTTTAAGTTCTGGAACCAAGTATAAGGCATTGACCGCCAGATCAGTGCTGGCTGTTTTGAGATTCAGACAGAGGAATGTGAGTGTGAACAACAGGTTCACCATGCTACCCTGTCACATATTTCCTTATACTAAGACTTTAGCAGAAATCAGTGCAACCTCTGGCTAATGTGGCAAAATGTCAAAAGATAAGATGGAGCTTTGTGGCTATTCTCAAAGCATTAACACATTTTTGGAAACAGGAAACTATTAGATAGTAAAGAATCTCCTTTATCTTTTTTTCTTTTTTTTTTTTGGTCTACAACTTTACTATTAGTATACCTTTTACTCCCACCGTGCCTTAATCAAGCCTCACTTGTATGGAAAATCAGCTTAGTGCTTTCTTTAAGAACAGGCCAGCCATTAATTGATCCAGTGTGTTGCCAGTCCTGGAAAACCTTTTTAGAAAGGAACAAATGATGCCTTACTTTGTGCTCAAAGAAGCTGAGTTTAAAATTTCATTCTTATGCACAAGGACATATTTAAAGAATCCTGTAAAGTCAGTTAACAATTCTCTTGGAGTTTAAGAAACCAAGAAAACCTTTCCTTCACACCTTTCTTCCCACCCTCTGAATCTTTTATATTAAACAATATGTTTATTTAAAGATACTTTACATGACTTAAAGTGTTCTTCCAGAGTCCTAACATCTTTGGACATCAAATTTAAGCAGCACTCCTCTGGTTAGGGTCAGAGAATAATCTTTTTCTCCTAGAAAACTGTTGAACTCAAGTAAATATACAGAATATTTCTAAAGTGCTGTATCCTAACTTTTCTAAGGTAACTGGCCGCCCTTCTTGTTGTTAACTAACACAGCACTGCGTTTTTTTCTGGCCTGTGTTTCCTAAGTCTTTAACATTTCCCCTCCCCACCTACTTGTGTTAAGGTTGACAAATTTCCTTGACTATAACAGCTGGTGTTGATTACCAGAGGCAAATCCATGATATATTTCACGAATAGGAGACATGAGCTCTTGGAATGGAAACTTGTCCCCAAAGAGAACACCTCCATGAATGTAGCCAAAGTTTGGTGTTCCATTTCAGTGTTTTGTTTTTTTTTTTTTTAAATCTGGCTCCAAAAGAAAATATTTTTGATTAGGCTACTCCAGTCAGAAAACACATCTGCCACTTCTGTCCCTCTTGCCTTCCACTGTATGCCACAGCCTCAGGCCAGGAGCCCCTCTAAGGAAGGAGGTCTGCTTCTCAGGCACACAGATACAAGCAGTACCCTTCACTCAAGGAGGCTCCTCTGCTAAACCTAGTGGTTTAAGCTAACAATCCTGAAAAACAGAGCTTTTAAAATTTCTTTCTTTTTTTTTTTCCTACCAGAGAAGCATTGCTCATGTCAGGCACAAGTGTCATCAAGTTGAACTTTGGGGTGTATTTCTAGTTCTGGGACTTAAGATCATCAAGAAAAGCTTACTTTCTTCCCCACTCTGAAATCGCCTTATTCTTGCCAGAAAGAAAACTTTGAACGTATTTGAATTTCCAATCAGGCAATGGGTAATGGAACACTGGAAAAGTAGTTATAACTTCATGGCCACGATGCTCTTCTTGGCTTGCTGAGGATTGTTTTTATTCACCAATGTGCGTGCCTGTCAGTTTCTCAGGATGACAGTCTGGCAGAGCTCAGTACTTTCAATATTATTTATGACGTGTGTAAAACCAGTGGGGGAGGGGGGGGACTGTTAATCTCCCACGAAGAGCGGAAACCTAACTTGCAGAAGAAGCAAGTTTGCAGTGGCAAGCTGCTAGCAGGTAACTCTACCCACCTCCTGATACACAGACGCATGCATCAGGGGAGCACCTGATGCACACACCCGAGTGCAGAGCCAGTTGTCAGATACACCGGCTCCCAACAGGTGCAGAACCGGTCACTAACCAAGACCAATACCCGAACTTTGTCTTCCAAAGCCCGCCTTCCAAAGTCTTCTCACAAAAGTCAGCCCACCTCAACAAAGCCGCGTCCGAGCGACGCTATGCCAAGCTCTTTTTGATATTTGCCCAATATAGTGCATCCTCTACTCTTTGTAATCCCCCGCCCCCAAAGTGACGCGGGGCAAAACTTAATAGGTCCGGGGAACCGAGACGCGTCTTCCCCGCAGCACGGACTTTTCAGAAAGGAGCTGGGCTGCAGGCACTGGATCTTTCTCGGCGCCTCCGTCCTCTGGGTCTCCCCTCCCCCGCACCCGCCCAGCACCGTCCGGGGCAGCTTACCTGCGTGGGGCATGGTGATGGTCTCGTTGGTGTTGGAGCCCGCGTTGAAGATAACCACAGCGGAGGCGTTCTGCAGGAACGCGTTCCGGATCTTATCCCTGTACGTGCAGTTGCCCTTGGGGATGAGGGCTATCCAGTTCTTGCCGTGGGTCGGCGCGGCGAACTTGGTGTTGGGGTCGCAAGCCAGGCGATCGTGGGCCGAGCTGGCCATGACCACCTCCCCGCGGGCGTCCTGCTTGGGCGAGTGCTCCCCGTAGCGCCCGCACTCGGTCTTCTCCGTGTGCAGCTCGGCGCCGCCGCCGCCCGCAGCCCCGGCCCCGGGGTCCGGCGCGGGTTCGGCGTAGGTGATGTTCACGAAGGCGGTATACCATTCCTCCTTCTCGGCCACGGTGAAGTCCAGGCAGAGCAGATGCACGAAACAAAAGGAAAGCAGCCATGTTGAGAGAGCCAGACTGCGGCACGCTTGGATGAGAGACATTGCCATCTTTATCCGCCGGGGCCCCCTCCCCGCCCCCCGCGCCCTCCTCCCGCCCCGTCCCTCCTCCCCAGCCCGGGCCAACCCCGGGCCGGCCGCTTCTCCAGCTGCTGCTGCTACTGCTCACTCCCGGGCCCGTGGGGCCGCGGCTGGGACGCGCAGCCGCCTCGGGGACCAGATTCCGGGCGAGCGGGTGGCGCCGGCCCCTTCGCCTCTTAGCCGAAGCGCGGCGGTTGCATCTTGCTTCTCGGGAGCGCTGGGGGTGAGAAAGGAGGGGGCGCTTCGGCTTGCGGAGGAGTCCAGCTGCCAAGCGTCCTGCTCCTTCGGCCGGCTTCTTCTCTCATGGGGTGGCAGGGGGCCCAGGAGCGTGCGGGGTGGCAGCTCTGCCCGCTCCGGCCCCGGCGGGGGCGGGCGCGGCCGCTCGCAGGCGGAGTGTCCCAGCCGCCGCAGCCGAGCGCCGGGGTGAGCGGGTCCGGCCGCAGCCCTGGCGGCCGCCCCCACTGCGCGCCGGTTCGCTGGGGCAGCTGGCGTGCGCTCCTGGCCTGGCTGATGGCTGTGCCGAGACACACACTTGCCGCGGGAGGGGTCGGCTCAGGGAGAATGGGAGCGAGTGAGAAGAGTGGAGTTACGCGGTCCGTGTGTGTGTGTGTATGAGTGTCTGTATATGTTTGTGTGTGTGTATAATGTGTGCGTGCAAGGAGGAGCTTAGTGTGATGTCAAAGCTTCTGGGCTTCACTTGCCACGCTCCCTCAGTCTCTCTCCATGGACAGCAGCGACCCCTGCCGGGTCTCACATTCACCATCAGTTTGCGACATGATCCAGGTGGGGGCAAAAGGGGAAGCGACCCCTTGACCTATAAGTACAGAAACAACTTCCTACGCCTTAAATATAGCAAAATGTGCCTCTTGTAAACAACCTTTTCATTTGCTGGAAGAACTACGGTGAGCTCCCTAAGTACCCGACCCGGAACCAAAGTCTAAATCTTGTTAGTCTCAAGGTCTTTTAACACTGCTCCTGAAATATCTAGAACATTGTCTATTAAACTTTAGTTTTAAAACAGACTAATGGGCCTTGTGAAGTTTCTGGTCTAGTAGGTCTGGGTTGGGCCCCAGAACACACATTTCTAAGGAGTTCCCAGATGATCTAATGCTGCTGGTCTAGGGACCACTATGTTAGGGTGGGTATAGGAATAGGCAGGCTTCTTTTCTCCCATCTGGAAACAAACACGTGACATTTTTCCCCCCTTATAAAATGGACATTGTCTAACTCTGGAGGAAAAGAGACTGGATGAGCCATTTCTCTCTATATTTATTTTGGTTGTCATGACTGGCATCAGAGCACTCACAACATCAATAAGCAAGGGAGATTTGTTTGGGTTACTGTTTAGCAAGTGCTCTCCAGTTGAGCATGTAGATTACAATTACTCAGCAGAGAATACGGTTTCCCTAGAGTAATGTTAAAACTGTGGCACAGCATAATTACTTACCAATTAAGTGCTTGGTTGTTATCCTTTCTCACCTATGGTTTCCTTGGTTTGAGAAATCGAAAATATGAAGTGTTGAAAAAAATATTTGTGTAGTGGTTCTCAATCACTCACAGGTATTTCCCCCCTATCACTCACAGAACCAGGATCCAATTCATATCAAAAAGCAAAAAGTCCACCATTTCCCCAGGACCTGAATACACGTACAGCTCTCTGTTAATGAATGTCCACCAGCAAAACTTCTCTTTTTTTGGGCAGCAGTACAAACAGCTGGTGGCTGTTAGGGGAGAGCAGAGAGCCCCAGTTATACCCAAATTAGAAGCAGGCACAAGAACTACTGAGAAGAATCTGTCTCTATGGTATTTGATGTGCTGGATTTGTATGTGTTCCTAGCTTATTCCTTTTAGAAAATAGGCTTCTAGGCAATTGGGACAGTGCTTTTTATAGTGCCTAATGCCCAAGGAGGCAAAGTGGAGATGCCTGGCTGCTGGTTTCTGAACCACCAGAGATCTGAGGGAGGAGTACATTGGCTCCAAACCCCCAGGTAGATTCTGCAAAAATGCAAACCACGGTGATTCCCCAGACCTATCTTTTAGCAGTTTTCCTCTAGCCACAAAACTTGGAGAATCTGTGTCATGAAGAATGTATGACTCTCTTTCTGTGCCCTTTCCCTTAGAGAAGTTAGGGACTGAAGACAGGCAGTCAGGAAGGCAGCAGCATAAGAACTCTCATAAGGAAAATGGGAGCCAGCTTCTTACTGTTGGAGAAGGAATTTGTAAATATTGAAGAAAACATTATAAGGAACTCTGAGATATGAGATTGGATTAAAAATGAGCATGGAATTACTTTTTTAAAAAAATATATGTGTCAGGTTGTGTTGTGGCTCAGTGGTAGAGCACTTGCCTGGCATGTGTGAGGCACTAGGTTTGATTCTCAGGACCACATATAAATAAATAAAATAGAGTCCATTGACAACTAAAAAAATTTTAAATACACACACACACACACACACACACACACACACATATACCAAATCTCTCTCCATTCAGACTCTCGAAGCAATGATCAGAAATCTTGCTTTCTAAATACTCACCTTCAAAATGAAAGGTCTATCCTCTCTAAAACTCTTGTGAAAGAGAAAAAAGAAAGAAGAACTAACTGATCCAAGATGAAGACACAAGACTTGACGATTAAATGCAATAAATGTTCCTGGATCCTCTTCTGCACTGGAAATGAAAACTAAACACTTGGCAAAAAAATGAATAAAGGCTGTAGATTGGGTAGTATATTTCACCCCGGGGTGATTTCCTGATTTGAATATTTACCATGAAGTTTTGTGGAGAAGGTCCTTGCAGGGATATGCCCACTGAAGTATTTAGTTGTTACGAGGTATTCTATCTGCAACTTGCTCTTACATGGTTCAGGGGAAAAAAATGAGAAAGAAAATCTAATATAAAATCTTTGTTTTCTCTGGCCACACTTCAGAAAACTTGGGAACTCAGTTCATGATGTTAAAAAGTCAAAGTTCATTTTTTCTGGAGGAGGGACATTAATATGCTTCCAACTTTGTGCTAATGATTCTTCTCCAGCACAACTATGCACATTTTCAGTGGCATATTTGACCTACTGAGCTGGTGTTTGGGGAAAACATAGATCCCTTATCACATCTGCTGCCAAATGTATGACATTCTTATAGAGCAAACACCTCTGTATTTCTTCATATCACAATTTTTTTATTTTTTTAGTTATAGGTGGACACAATATCTTTACTTTATTTTGGGGTGGTGCTGAGGATTGAACCCAGTGCCTCACACATGCCAGGAGAGCTCTCTACCACTGAGCCACAACCCCAGCTTCATATCACAATTTTTACTGAGCATTTTGATACATTAGTTAGTGGTCCAGGCACTAAGTTTACAATTGGGAATGGAAAAAGATAAAGTTCTTGCTCTGTGGAATTGACATTCTGGAGCCAGAGAAAACAGAAATGTTTGAGAGTTTCCATAATGACAAGCAATAACAGGTGCTATAAGGAAAAGGCAGTAGAGCACCTGTAAGATAGGTAGTTTATTTTGCATAAGGTGCTACTTTGTATCAGGGTCAGTTGCTCTGATGAGATGATGCTTTAATAGAATCCTGAAAGAAGTGGAATTCATAACAATGTTTGGGAGAACAGCTGTACCAGGAAGAGGAAATCAGAAGAACAAGGTCCCTGAGGGCAAGATTGTTTATATACAAATAAAATTTCTTTTAGTTGTCAATGGAACTTTATTTTTATTTATTTATGCATGGTGCTGAGAATCAAACCCAGAGCCTCACACGTACCAGGCAAGCACTCTACCACTGAGCTAAAACTCCAGCCACTGAGGCTTGAGAACAGTGAAAGAAACCGAGAGTAAAGGAGATGAGATGGGAAGAGATGGGAGGGCAGATCATATGTGGCAGTCAAAGTGAGAATGCTTTGGATTGTGTTTTGGGTGAGAGGAGAATCCCTTGAAGATGTTTGAGTTCCTACTTATGCAAGTATATGATGTGTTTTAAATGGTTTATTCTGACAGTTGTTGGAGCAAGTATGGAAGCAAGGAAGACAGTTAATGAACTATAACAATTTTGGAAATGGAAACTAGTGACTATGACAGGGGGGTGGCAATGAACCTGTTGAGATGTGATTATCTCTTCAGTGCATGGTATTTTTTCCCTGGTACCTTTGATGTGGTACCAGGGAAAAAAGAAAAGCAACTGGCAAGATGGGGTTGTCATTTTCCAAGATGAGGAAGATTGCAAGCAGAACTGGTTGGGATAAGAATCCAGAGTTTTGGAGCGGTAGAGTTCAAGGTGCCCAGAGGTATCCAAAATGGCAATTAGATGCAATTTGCCTCAGCATTGTGTGTGAGAAGGGAGATTACTAGATCAAAGCACTTGAAGACTTTTCAAGTTATGTGTTTTACCATATAGGATTACCAAATCGCTTTTTCAAAGGTTGGCATCACCAGGCACCAGGGTAAAGTGAGCTCCCACAAACAGCTTTTGAAATATTCTCAGAGGACAGCTCAGCAATGAATCCTGGCCTGTGGGGGGATTTTCTCCACCAGTCAAGCGGCCTAGGCCAAATAGAATTAGTAGTTTCCACAGGGTTCTTTGATGTAGGGAGATGATCTTGTTTTAGACGGGGTGGGAGCAGATTTGACTTAAACACATGCAACATGTTTGTGTCTGAGTCAGAAACAGAGCTGCCAGTGCAGAGAGTGGTAGTGCCCCGGTTCTCTGGGTGCTAGCTGATTGGGCTTTTCCTAAGAGGCTGTCAACCTTGACGCTGCCTTTTTATCTCACCATTAATGTGCACAGCATATTCAAAGGGAATCTGACCTTTGACTTCTAAGAAGTGTATAGTAGCATTTGACAACACCATTCCTCCTACGCTTACATACAAATTTTTATGCTTTAGTAGAATTCTTATGCACAGATGATTCAACATACAGGGTTTAATGCATAGCGTAATTATCATTTACACTGATTGATTGACTGCATTTTTAAAAAGTTGATACCTGTTCAATAATTCTTCTGCATATGTCCTTTTGTCACTATATGCTCCTAAATAGCTAACTCCATGATGAAAAGGGAGAAAACATAACTGTGAAGGAGGGGGACTTCAAAATATTATATGGCATTCATGGACCCTTATGTGTAAAGGCTGGCATTATTATTTTTAAAAGCAATTTCCTGTGGGATCATATGCTGTGATACTTTGTTTCATGTGTCCTGTCCTAGGGAAATTTTTCCTCTCCTCAGTCTTCCACATTTGTTTGAAGAGAAGTTTGTGTGGCAGTGGTAGCGTGGCAACTTTGGCACCAGACAATCCAGGATTAGAATCTCAGCTCTGCCACTCAGGCAAAATTTATACTGAGCTACAATTCTCTCTTTAAAACTGGTAGGATTACACCATTCCCAAGGATATTGAGAGACAGGAAAGGCAATGTATGTTTTGGGGGCACAAAGAAGAATGAGAGAGACCTCTAGGACTCTGTAGGGGTCAAGAACAAAAATGAAGAAGGAAACCAGAGTCTAAAACTGCAGTGCCTCCAAACAGTAAAGAAAGTCAACTTTTTAATTTATGTTCTTGACTTACAGTGGGATCAGTCCCAGTAACTCCATTATAAAGTGACAATATCAGAAATTGAAACATATTTAATATCCCTAATCCATGAAACTGGTAGCTCAGCAATGCAGCCCACCATGGAGTATGCCTTGTTCTCCTCCT